CAGACTACCTAGTTTTATCTACTATCTATGCCGGTTGTGAACTATTCCATCCTGTGTTCAGGCATAATGCAGAGAATGCTGTCCTGGCCACCCTGGGGGTAGCCATGGCCACAGGTCATTGTCACAGAGTCCAGATGTTCCATCTAGAGCCAACCAGTAAACACCTGGTCACTGTGCCCACTCAGTGGTACGCCGGCCAGGACTCTGTAACACAATGGTGTGCATGCACTGTTCCTTGGGTTTCCACCCCGTATCTCCAGGACTCTGTAACACAATGGCGTGCATGCACTGTTCTCTGGGTTTCCATCCCATATCTCCAGGACTCTGTAACACAATGGCGTGCATGCCCTGTTCTCTGGGTTTCCACCCCGTATCTCCAGGACTCTGTAACACAATGGCGTGCATGCCCTGTTCTCTGGGTTTCCATCCCATATCTCCAGTGCTACTGGGCCAGGGATCTTTGATGTGATTCTTTTATTCCCAATGTAAAGGGGCAAGTGGACTAAGTTGACCAAAAGAGAGGGTAAGCCAGGTGAAACCATCTCAAGTCTGTGTTATGCCATCCCAATACTGAGTGGTCTAATCTCTCGGTTGGCGTAGTACCAGCATTAAGGCATGTGAACTGGTTCCTTTTACTGAAAAGCTCTTCCTATGGCTTTTGCTTTGCAAAGTATTATTAATAGACCAGTGATGCACACTAGCCTTCATCATACTAGTGCTAAGCACCAATGACTGTTCCTGAGAAACACAGACACATTTCTGATATTCTGTCTACTCTTGTCCTTGAAGAGGAGCTGCCAGAACCACCAGAAAGGGGCGCGAGGCCACACACCTACCAAGTGTTGTCCTGTAATTGACTAGCACAGGCCCAAGCCTACTGCAAGATGTTTGCTTCATGGGCAATGGCTGGTGATAGCAGCAACAAAACATAAGAACTAGGGACAAAAAGAAGGAAATGTGGTGGGAACTTGTAAAGAAAGACCTTCCTCATCTATTAATGATGATTCTCATTAAGATACAGGCCTGGTCAGGTGTCTTGAGAAGGCTGATCGCCTCAGATGTTGTTTTCTTCTCATCCTTGTTGGAACTGGAGAGTTTTAGTTTTAGATCACCAATCCAAGATGAAGTCCAAATTGGCAAAGCAGCTTTCCTTACATGGGTGGCAGGTATCCAGGAATCAACTCCTTTAAGCTTAGTGGCACAAGGGTTGGTTAGGGGTCCCTGATAAGGTTCCTTCCTCTTTGGTGGAGAAAGTCCTTTAAACGATGCTATTTCCTACAAAGTCTCCTGGCTGAAGTATGTGGTCCTTGAGTTTTTGCTTCTTGGAGCTCAATGTGGAAAGAGTCTTTGACTAAGTAACAGTTTTTACTTAGGTGCCTTATGAGGCTGCTGCAATACTACAACCTGTCCCTTTCTAATATCATTGATTTACAGTTTCCTGGAGACAATTTCATAGGTCTGTCCGTTATAATTTCAGATGGAGACAGCTGGCATTTACCCATAAGGGCTGATCTTAGGTGAAGCAAAAACAAGAAAGTGCTCCCAGTCGAGGAAGTTTTAAAACTTCAGTTAATTTTGTCAATTGAGTTTTGATTATTCTGCTTGTGCATTCTACTAACCCAGATGACTGGGGTGATAGGCACAATGGAAATGCTGGAAAATGGGCCAGATTTTGCATACTGACTGGATTATTTGTGCAGTGAAATGAGTGCCTCTGTTGCTATGAAGTTCTTGAGGAATTCCCCAAGTCGAAATAATTTTCTCTAAGATAACTACTTACTGCTCAGGCTGCTGCTCTCCTGCATGGAAATGCTTCTGCCCATGAGAAAATACACAAACCATCACTAGGATGTGCCTGTATCTTTGTGATGTTGGTAGCTGAAAAAATCTAGTTGCCACACCTCAAAAGGGCCTTCTGGTAAAGGGAAATGACCTGGAGAACTGGGTCAAGGTTTCCTTGCATTATATTCTGGGAAGACAGCAGTGACTGTATACCTAAGAGAAACAGCTGGAGAAGGTTTCTGATGACATTGTTCTCCTAAAGAAATCAATAATCTTATCAGAGTCCAGTGAGTTACATCGTGTATGCACATTAAGAAAGACGGCTGGGCCAGGTGCGGTGGCTCACGCCTGTAATCCTAGCATTTTGGGAGGCCGAGGTGTGTGGATCATGAGGTCAGGAGATCGAGACCATTCTGGCTAACATGGTGAAACTCCGCTCTACTAAAAATACAAAAAACTAGCTGGGCATGGTGGCGGGCGCCTGTAGTCCCAGCTACTCGGGAGGCTAAGGCAGAATTGTGTGAACCCAGGAGGTGGAGGTTGCAGTGAGCCGAGATTGTGCCATTGCACTCCAGCCTGGGCAACACAGCGAGACACCGTCTGAAAAAGAAAGAAAAAAAAAAAAAAGAAAGATGGTTGTAACTTAGTTGGAAGTATGAGTTGGAGATTTGGATTGAGCTAATTTTACATAAAAATCTAACTTCCTTAAAGGCCAAAATGGTTTGATCTTTTTGTTCAGATAGGTTTATGGTCACCCTGTTTGCTATAGTATCTGCTAACTGGCTTATCTTGGTTTTTTGAGTGTCTTTGAAAGGCCTGGAATCTTGATAATGGCTAATGATTTTGGCAATAGTATGGTTTCCCATAATTCTGAAACAAGGCACCCATTTTTTTTGTGGGCTGACTAGAAAAGGTTAAAAATCCTCTTTGTCTCCATAGCATTCCAAAATTATGAGCGACTCTGAGCGTATCTGCTATCGGTATAAAGATTAGCAATTATTCCTTTTGCCAACTGACATGCTCTAATTAATGCTATTTGTTTGTTGAGATGGTTGCTCCTGGAAGACAAGCACTTTCCATTTCTTTGGGCAAAGGCGCTATGGCATAGCCAGTGTAATACCTTCCAGCTGCATCCTTTAAGAAAGAGTCATCTGTAAACCAAATAACATCAGCGTTAGTGAGGGGGGTTTCTTGTATGTCTGTCCTAGGAGACAGCTGGTCAAAGATGATGCAGTCATGCAGCGTTTCAGCTGAAGGTGGGGGAGAGGGTGGCAGAATGTAGATGACATCTGGACACTGTAGTATGGGGCTGAGAGAATAACTTCATAAGAAGCCAGTTACTAACTGATCGTGTTGAGTGTGGTGCAGGTTTAGAAGCGCTTCCACAGAATGTGGATTGAAAGCAGTGAGGGGTGATGGCATCCTTGGTGCTTTGGTTGCTCTTGCAGAGCTGTGATGGTTGTTGCTTCATGCAAGGAGGCGGTCCTTTAGCTGCCGGGTCTAGTTGTTGACTGTAACATCCTACAAGTCTGCTTTGTCTCCATGTTTTTGAGTCAGAACGCCAACAAATGTTTTACTTGCTAACAACTCTGCAACTTGAGCTGGACCCAGGCCCGACGGGCCTTGCAGACAGTCACATGTGTGGCTGGCCTCAGCTGGGACGTTGGGATAGCTGGATTGTCCTCCCTCTTCCATTTCATGGGATCTTGGGATCTCTTTCCATCATTTTTCCTTCAGGAAGTTGGCCTTTTAACGTGGTAGCTCACGGCTCCCAAGCGTGCACCCATGTGTAAGCTTTAACGATTGCACTGAAGATGGCTTGGTGTAATTGTCCGCTTATCGATCTTTTTCTCGGCAGGTCTTCTCCTGTTCTCTCACTCCGTACGTGATTGATTTATTTTCCCAGGACGTCCCAGTCACCCGGGCCTGGGGGAGCGGCCTGCGCGGCGGTGTGAGGTCGGGCCTGAGCAGGGCGCCTGCTGGAGAGTAGCAGGTGACTTGCCACACCGCATAACCCCCTGCACCCTT